AAAAAAAAAAAAAATGTCTGTTTTAATTCCTTATTATAAAATGTTCATTGGAGAAAATACAGGAAGTTGTAAAGAAATAAACATTACTCATAATTCTACCATTTAAAAGAAAGAAATTGTATAACAGCGTTTGGTATTTATTCTTTCGGCTCTGTCTGCCTTTTCTCCATGTGTACTTATAATTTAAAAGGAGATTATTTTATCATAGTTTTGTACTCTACTATTTTAATCTAACATTTGTTATCAGCAAAATAACTTATAACAGCAGTATTATGTTCCATGATATTAATATACCCTTATTTTTCTACTTTTTTATTGTTTGATATTTGTCTCCATTTTTGTTATAAAGAAAACTTTAATAAACATTTTTGAATGTAGAGATCTGTCCTCTTTTCCCATAATTTTCTGAGGATAGTCCTAGAAATAAAATGTTTGTCTTAAAGTTTCTGAACATTTTAAGAGTTAAATATTTTAGAAATAGTCCAGTTTGGATAAAAATATATATTTAAAAATCACTTTTAATTATTAAAATAACAGAATCGTACTATAGAAGATAATTTTTATTTGGAAGCACCATCACTCTCATCATTTTCATCAGCCATTTATTTAGTACCTACATGAGTGGTATTTTCAAAACAAATTACATGAACAAAGAATTTGGCTTCTAGCAAGTATAATAAATAACAGCTCTGATTACAGGCAAATAGGTACATGAATAATAGGCAAAGGTCAAAGAAACATCAAGCACGTTAAATATTTTTATCGTTTGAAAAGAAGAAAGAACACTAAATAGAAGTAGAGAGAGGGTGTTTTTTATACAAGCAATTTTTTTCTTTAAGTGAAGGTCATCATGCAATGGATACATCCTAGCTTATAAAAACAAAATTTTCATTCAGAAAGAGACAAGTGAAAATGAAAAAGGAATCGTAAAGTCAGGCTTTGACAGGTGAGAATGAGACCTTGGAGAGTGGCTGCCATCAAGGGCTCCCTGGTAATACAGAGAAGAAAAACACTCCCTATGCAAACAACGCCATCTGTGCTCTGGAACTTCACAAAAGAACACCACTGAAAAGCCACACATGAGCGGTGTCTTCATCACTTACAAAGAGACGAAAAATGCTCCTTATGCAAACAGTTCCACCTGTGCTCTGGAACATTACCAAAGGACACTGATAAGCCACACATGAGCAGCATCTGCATCCCTTACAAAGACACGAAAAACAGTATCAAGAAACCTTACCTAGTTCCATTCCACGCTCATATTCCTCTGTGGCTCCTTTGCTTAAACATGATGAAAGGCGCCAGAGCCAGGCTCTGGCTGGTGCGAATCTGCTCAGAGTTCAAATTATGCCACTGTGACCCCTCATGCTGAAGAATTCCCACTTCTAACCCAATTTAGGATGGATGCATAAGTTCAACATTGATATGTACAGCAACTCTTCCCTGTTGGTCTTCACTCAATGTTTAAATCCTCAGGATGCTCAGTTTTGGTTCTGTTTTATGTTTTGTTTTTTTAATGGAGAAGAGGTGAGTACAGGAAGAGGCCTGGAAGATGCTCACCGATTGCCAGTGGTAGATCTTTCTTTTTGTTTAAATGTTAAGATACATGTCTTTGTAGTGAATGAGGATTTAATAAACTTTAGGACGAATTAGTTGTAAACTTCTCATTTAGTTTTGCCTATATTCTTTCCCCTCAAGAGGCTTGTATTTTACATATTCCTTTGTAGATGTAGCTTCACCCTTGGATTATTTAGGCTTCTGTTTTGTAAATTTGATCTCCATATTCATATATTTCTCTCTGAATTGTTTTTCCTTGCCTTCCTTCCTGAAGAAGGCTTACAGTTTAGCTCGAAGGAATTGCCATCACTTTTCTGAAGGCTTCCCTAACTCTAACTCTGCTTCATCTTAACCCCCTTCCCAGTACCCTATCCACACTCCAGAAAAAGTCATTTCACTTTCTCTAATGAGCTCTTGGAACACAGCTTTGGCAAATACATTGATCATTCTATGCTATAATCTATTTGCTTATGTGTCTACCCTCTAAGCTTGACTCAGGTTACTTTCTTTTTTCTTTTCTTTTTTTTTTTTTGAGACAGTGTCTTACTCTGTCAGCCAGGCTAGAGCGCAGTGGTGTGATCTCGGCTCACTGCAATCAGGTTACTTTCTTACAATCACTAAAAACAATTTTTTTTTTTTTGCATTTAATCCTGAAAGTCAATATGTACCTGGGAGCGCTCTATAAATAATAGCTGAAATGTCGCTGAACTCAAGGACAAGCAGGTCTGTGGATTCATTGATTTTTAGGTTTTATTTCTGTATAACACCAGAACAATTTTCTGGACATTGTTTGTCTAATTGTATTACGTTTGCTCAGATTTTATTACTCAGATAAAGGAAACTGGAGATTTCTTTGGAAAAAACAAAACCAAACCACTGCCTGCTTTGTGTTTAGACTCGCAGGCGGTCAGTTGCTGTGTATGGGCAGTATGGGGGCCAACCTTGTACTGGAAATGCTTTTGAAACACAGTCCTGTAAACCTACAAGAGGATGTCCAACAGAGGAGGGATGTGGAGAGCGTTTCAGGTGTTTTTCAGGTAATTTGTTTTCCATAGGCTCAGCATGAAGATTGTAAATTCAAATGTTATTTGATGAACTTGCTCATTATACATTTGTTAAGTTTTACTAAATTTATATTGGCCTAAAATTAATTTGCCCCAAATATCATCAGGATTTTTGTTGGTAAGTTAATCACACATTCAGCTATCATTCTTTCAAATGCAAGGGGAGGCATCTGGTAATAAACATGGCAATGCTTTTAGTCTCTTCGAATGGAACTCTGGCTACTGACATACCCAAATAGATACTCAAAATAATTTAGGCAGTAACTTCGGCACCCAAAATAATTTAGGTAGACCCAAATAGGCACCCATAATAATTTAAGCAGGTTGTATTTTGGGTGAAGACGCAGAGTGAGTCTTGTACATATACGAGATTAGACAAAAACAATGTTACTGCCTAAATTATTATGTTTACAAGAAAGCAACACTAATGAGCTGATTAAGGAGTAATACAGTTCTCTCTTACACATGGGGTGACTGAAACATAGTTTTGGCATTGAATATTATTTCATCAGTTCTCTATGTTGCATTTGTGCAGTCAGATTAATGTAATAAAATTTAGTAAACGCTTATGATTCTTCTTGTGTTTCAAATAGTGGTAAGGGTGGTATATACAAGGGAAACACATGCCTCTTCCCTCACAAATATTAACGTTTTATGGGCAGAATAGTACATAAATAATCCCTGAGTTAGAAGGGCTCCTCAATGATGCCTGTCAAATGCTTACTTTACTTTCGAAATCCAAATCAGGTAACAACTCCTTCAGGAAGCCTTCCCTAAATCCCTAACTGAGAGAAGTAATTAACCAATCACCTCCATGTGTTCCTTATGCATATTGTACCATCTGTAATTTGGATTATTTGTTGGCCTGAATGTCTCTCTTGGTGAACTGTGAACTCCTTGAAGATATGAATTATATTTCCTTCATGTTGGCTTCTGGAGTCTCTGGTACATAATACATTCTCAACAAATGTTTGCTTCATTGGATTGAGTGACAGTATAGCAGCTTGTGTGTCCTACAGGGACAGTTGTGCACTAAGCATCCTATGAGGACATAGAGGAAGAACATGCAGCAGAGCCTGTGAGGTAGGGATGGCTTTCAAGAGGAGATAACGTTTAATTTGATTCTTGTAGGACAAGTAAGAATAGGTAGAGAAACTGTTCTAGGCAGAGAGAACTAACTGTAAGTACAAGATCATTGGAGTTAACAGAAAATGTGGCCTTTAATTCATGCAGGTAGTCCAGTATGACTAGAGTATGTGAAGCTAGTAGGAGAATGGCTGGACATGGTGCCGGGGAGATAGGCAGGAACTAGATCATCTGGTACCCTCCAGTGCTTCCTTGGTACTCTAGATTTATGGCTGTTATAACAATTATGATCTACGTCTTTGTAGTATTTCCTATTAGATTGTAAAGTATATGAAAAGTCTGGCAAAGGCCATTTTTATTCATATTTGTATGCCAGCCCCTATTGTGCTAAAGAAATATTGAATTTTAACCTTTTGATAAAATTCTCCTGCTCTTAAAGCTCACAAATGCAAATTGCCAAGAAAAGCTCAACTTGGTCATCTTAGAATGACAGAAAAAAATTGAAAGTTGAAGGGCAGGAAGTCAATCGATCTTCCCAGTAGTTGGAATTGTATAATTTAGACAAGCTGCTTGATTACGGGTGAGATCCTGAAAATTTGAATTCAGATCCTGTTTTTAATTTTGTGTCTGAGTTATGAATCACTTCTGTGTGTCACAAAATGGAGACAAAATAATCACTAGTCCTTTCCTAGACACTCTGGGATTTATCTCCCATTTAGATTGAAGTATCAATGCAGTGTTGCTGGTGGCAGGAAACGTTTTTTGGTTCTGGATAGCGTTTCTCTTCTTCCCTCTTTTACATTGCCATGTGAGTTTTTCTTGTGTTCAGGTCAGTGCATCAGCAAATTGTTGGTTTGCAATGGGGATTCTGACTGTGAAGAAGATAGTGCTGATGAAGACAGATGTGAGGACTCAGAAAGGAGACCTTCCTGTGATATCGATAAGCCTCCTCCTAACATAGAACTTACAGGAAATGGGTAAGGTGCTGGGCAGCCTCCTGAGTACATCAATGAATTGTAATTTTAAACTTTTTTGTTATGGTTTGGCAAGTCTAAGAACAAATCTCCTAATAGGCAAGACTTTTCATTGGCTCAGAGCTCTTTGCCACATCCTGAGACAGTATTTTTGTTCATACATGTATACCTGTAGATACATGTGGTGAGATGTTGAATGAACGCTTGTTGTAGGATGGTCCTGGTTTTAGCACTGAAATTCGAATCCAGAGAAACCCCTTAGTCTCAAGGAAACCTGGACAGTTGGTCACTTCATGGGTGTTTGAAGGGAGGAAGGAAGGGAGGGGAGAGAGAGAGAGGGAGAGAGAGAGAAAGAGAGAGAGAGAAAGAGAGAGAGAGAAAGAGAGAGAGAGAGAGAGAGAGAGAGAGAGAGAGAAGACTGGTTCAGTAATGTGGGGGCTATTCAAGAGAAGGAAGAAACAATAGAATGATAACAGGATGAGAAGAGAAAGAGAAACAAATGTGTTGTAATACCCAGGCTGAACAGCAATTGCCTAAACTAGCCAAAAAACTTCATTTACAAGTGAAGGTTGGAAAATACTGTGTTTACCTTATTAAAGAAAATTCTGGAGAAGTTTTCAATGTCATATGACTTGTTAAGGTATTAAGACTTAAGAATAACCTGTTTTAAAATGAAAGAAGTAATTTATCTGTAACATTTTAAAATTAACAGAGAAATAGGTTAAAATTACTTTAAAAAGTATACCATTCAGCAAGCTCAGAGACAATTAGTTAAAATTTATTATAGAGTGCTCTCTGTCCTCAAGAGTAACCTTAATTGTATTGGTTTTATCTATAGATTCAATTCAAAACCAGCTGTTGCCATAGATACAAAAGAGCCATGTGTTTCCCAAATATGTTCTTTGAAAGGCTGTTGGCTTTCCCCAGCTATTAGTTTTAGTGATTATACTAAGCAGGGGAAGCTGGATAATGTATGGTATGCATTAGGATGCTGTGCTCTTTATTTGAGCTCTCTCAAAGAAGTGTTTAACTGTAATGCATTTTAAGAATTTCTAGAGTTCTCTAACGACTTTTTTTCCCAGGAAGTGCTATTTCTGGTTTTTAACTGCCTTTTATTTCCTCCTCCACCTCCTTTTAACAGTTACAATGCACTCACTGGCCAGTTTAGGAACAGAGTCATCAACACCAAAAGTTTTGGTGGTCAGTGTAGAAAGGTGTTTAGCGGGGATGGAAGAGACTTCTACAGGCTGAGTGGAAATGCCCTCTCCTATACATTCCAGGTACTTACGATGTTACTGATTTCTAATCTGGGATTGTCAGACAGCATTATTTATATGATACTGACTTTTAGGTATTTGTTGAGAATTTACTTAAGGTCTAATATGTGGTCAATTTTTATCAATGTTTTATGTCAACTTAAAAAGTATACTCTGTTTTTCTTTGGGGTACAGGGCGATGACACTTTAACATGTGTCATTTAAGCTGACATATCCTTATACCTTCATGTTCTATGTGGGCCCAAGACCTTACTGTCTGTGCCTGTACAGGTATTAAAACTTAAGGCCCTGTCCCTGACTGGTAATGATAGTCTCTTGACACTGCTAGTGTCAGCTCACTTAAAATGCTTTTATTTTAAAATCGTGAACTATTTCATCTATACAAAAGAGCATGGATAACATATACGTGTAGTTTAAAGAAAACTGTCCTCTCTGCCCACCATCTGCCTTAAGAAATAGAATATTGCCAGTGACTTAAAGGCCCCTCTACGCCCCTCTCTGATCACATCCCTCTCACTCCTCAGGCAACCACTATCTTATATTTTGTATTAATTATATCCTTGGTTTTTTTTTTTTCTGTAATGCTTGTTCTTTATATGTCTTTGTCGCTAAATAGAGATTTGTGATTTAGTTTTGCTTATTTTTTCCATTTATAAATAGAATCATACCTATCCTTCTGTTACTTTTTTCCCCTAAAAGTTATGGTTTTGAGATTTACTCATGCTGTTGCAGGTGTCATTTTTATTGCTGTTCGCAATTTTTTCTTATGAAAATGACTTGAACGTTCTTGTGCCTGAATCCCATACAAATGAACTAGAGATTCTCCAGGGCATACACCTGGATCTAAAATTGCTGCCTTGTAGGATATGTATGTATTAAATTTTACTAGGTAAAGTATCCAAAATGGCTGGATCATTTCATATCCCAGCAGTGGGGATGAGTGGCCTCCACTTCACATTCTTGCCAACACTGGTATTGCCTAACTTTCTAATTTTGCTTATGATCTCAGATCTCCTCTGGCTCCAGGCTTCTGTTTCTCAAAAGCTATTTCTGTCATACACACCTAAATTCACCCATGAGTAGGTTTTGTTCAACACAAAACGTACTCATGCAAAACAGTTATGGCTTTAGGAAACTTTATGGAAGATTTGGAAAGAAGATAGAGGAGAGGTTTTCTGTTGCAGTGATGCAAACATGTCGAAGCAATAGCAATCGGCATCTTCTACCTTAAAACATTCTTCCACAGCCTCGACACGGTGAAATTTCTGGTCTCATCTGGTGTTAGCTTCTTTCTTGCTTTTGCCTTTCAAGATCCCCCCTCCCACTCCTTTACCTCCCTTTGTCCCCAAACTCCAAAAAATGTCTAATTCAGCTTTCAATATTGATTACTCCTAAATTTGCACACCCAAACTACTGAAATGTTCAGACAAAAGGGCCTTTTGCTTACCCAATTTAACCTTCTCCAGAAAGCAGTTTTGATTATAAATAGCAAACATACTATCTTCTAATTTACCACAGAATAAGTTAGAGAATAAGTTAAGAGTTGTTGAGTGATATAAATGAGAAGTAAAATGGATCTAAAAAATAATTGTAGCTACCAGTTTTTGAATACCTACTGTGACATCTGCACGATTTTAGGTGATTAGCGCAGTTTAAAATTCACAGCAGCCTTGGAAAGTAAGCAATATTTTACTATTTTATGTATGTAGAAATTAAGGCTGAAGAGGGCTTCAGCTGACTTACTCAAAGTCACCAAATTAAAAGTAGTAGAGCTTAGATCTGGTCTGTCAGATTTCACAGCCTTTTATTTTACCATTACATTTTACTCTCCCCATGTATTTCATTTAATTTCTTTTTCAACTCTAAATTCAGCATGGCGAATAACATGTTTCATCATTTAACCTTTGGCCAGAAAGGAGAATGTAAAATAGGCATATACAGAGAATTTTTTCTCACCGTATTCCTTAGAGAATGTGTTCCTAATTCTTTCATAATTATAATGTGGAGACTTGCATGTATATTTCTAAAAGGGTCAAATTTAGAAAGTTACAGAGCAGAGAAAAAATGAGACAGGGCGTTTCTGACTTAGTTGGAAGGTAGACATGCAGGAAGTCTGCACTTCTGAAGAAGAGGGATAATTTAATAACAGCGTGATCCTGACATTCTATTTTACTCAGCGGGGCTTGGTCTTTAGATTGACATCTGAAATGTCTTCCCCATCACTGAATGTGAAGATGTTTGTCAGAGTAGAGGGAAATTATAGCCTGTTACAGACTGAGGAACAGAGATGTTTTGAGGAGCCAATCTGAGGGAAGTGAAGTGGAAGCAACAGGCAGTGAGTCAGCCACACAAGTGCTAAGCCCAGATGTGGATGTGGCAGTGGTGAATGTTCTCCATGATTCAAATAAATTGATCTAGGGCCCACTGGGTGTTCAGCTCTCTTCAAAGTGGAAGGTGACTTTTGGCTTAACATAAATATTAGTAAATAAACATAAAACAGAATTGGCCAGTTTTATAATCCCCGTTTTGGTTTCTAGCTTCATGGTTTATCCAGGGAAAACCCAATCTCTTGTTGAGTAAGCTACTTAATTTCGACGCTGTGCACATTCTTTGTCTACTTATATATTTTATACAACATGGAAGGCATTTGTTGCTTGGGAAGGTGCCCCTTCGCCTAGTTCAGCCTGAGAGATGGCAGAAAGACTGTTGTGTTTATTCTGCATATGTGATGAATTGCAGAAGAGGATGAGTTATGATCAAGGTGAAGAAGTCTCATGGCTTCTTCTGTGTTTGGTCTTGAATGTACTTCATTATATATTTTGAAGAGAAATCCTAGATGCATTTCAAGTGAAAAACAAAAACAAATTCTAAAGGCAATTTTAATGAATGCTACCTTATCTAAGTCTTTGCTGCTTCTATTGGTATGAGGACTAGATACCTGAGATTTCTAAATCTACCTTGTTAGCTAGGGATAATTTAAATGATAGTTAAAAATATATCACATGTAAGAGTCCTTTATATACTAAGCACTGTTCCAAGAGCTTTACATGGATCTATTTTCCTTATAATAACCTGAGGAGGTAGGTACTGGCATCTCATTTTACAAATGAGAAAACAAAGGCAAAAAAGCTAAATAGCATATCCACAGCATAGAAGATGACAAAGGTGAGATTTGAACTTTAGAAGTCCGGCTCCAAACCCCCTCTTAGCAGACACTATACTTACAAGCATTTTATATAGTATATATACATGTATGTATATACGGTGAATATCTCTATCTGTATATCATCCCTCATTCTATATGTAGGTGGGAGTGAGAGAGAGAAAATGAAAAAACAGGAAGGCAAGAGGAATACTTTTTTTTTTTTTTTGAAAGAGTCTTACGCATTTGCCTAGGCTGGAGTGCAGTGGTGTCATCTCGGCTCACAGTAACATCTTCCTTTTGTGTTCAAGTGATTGTCATGTCTCAGCCTCCTGAGAAGCTGGGATTACAGGCGTGTACCACCATGCCTGGCTAATTTTTGTATTTTTAGTAGATACAGGGTTTTGCCATTTTGGTCAGGGTGGTTTCGAACTCCTGTCCTCAAGTGATCCACCTGCCTCAGCCTCCCAAAGTGCTGGATTTAGAGGTGTGAGCCACTGACCCTGGCCCTGGGAGCACCTTTGAATAACTGAATGAAGTTCAAGCTGGCTGGATTACAGAGTGAAGTGTGAAGAGTCGTAAGCAATGAGGTTATAAGTGATCAGGAAAGTAAATAAAATAGACTTTTTTTTCTGTTCAGTTAAGGAGTTTGGATTTTAAAAAAGTCATTAGAGAGTTTAAGAAAGGGTGTTACTCTTATGAACAGTGGACAATAGATTGGAGGGTGGCAGACTGGGGGAAAGCAATCTGGTTAGAGAATTGTTGTAATAATCCCTGAGGAATATGACAGTGGCCTGAGAAAACTCGGTAAGTGGCTGAATGCAAGGAATGATGGAGAGTGAGCAGTCTGGGATATGAATGGGTTTCTGACTTGGACCAATGGCCAGATGAAAATACAATCCTCTGAGATGGTAAGGACCCGTTTGCAGAAAGAAGACAAATTCAGTTTAGGTACCTAAGTTATGTCTAAGTGCTCAGGAGAAAGAGTTTGGGCTGGAAATATACATTTGCTGATTATTCGTATTGGAATGGTAATTGAAGCCACAGAGTAGAGATCACTGTTGCTCTCGGAACTCGCATAGATGAGTGGTATAAGGAGATGCCTGGAGGAGTCTTAGAAGGAACAGCCAGAGAGAGAGAGAAAAAAAAAAGAAAACTAGAAAGCCAATGGAAAAGAGTATTTCCAGTAGGAGAAAGTGGTCGACAGTGCTGAATAACGTTGGAAGAAGTGTTCACCATCTGGTGAAATAAGGAAGATGCCGGCAGCATTGTTGGAAGTCAGACCGTTGTAGGTGGAAGAGTGAATGGGAAGTGAGGAATTTAAGATAATTACAGTCAACTCATTTAAGGTGGTGAGATGGGAAAGCAGAAAAGTAGAAAAGAAGGAATATAGAGTAACAGGTAACATCTTAGAACATGTATGAGTTTTGATAGAAAGGAGCCAGTAGATCAAGAAAAATGGAAGCTGTAGGAGAGGGAACAATAAAGCCATCTAATCCACCCTTTGAAGAGGTCAGAGGGAATGCAATACGGAGAAGAGACAGAAAGGTTAGCCTAAGAGAAGGGGGAAGGACACCTATGGAGAAAAAGAATGAAGAAAAGTTAATAAGTTTGTAGATTTGTTTGCCAGCAGTTTAAGTGGTCTTTGAAGATGGGAGATTTTGTAAAGAAAGAGGTAAGATCATCTTCTGAGAGTGAAGGAAGTGGCTGTAGAATTGGGGAATTGAATTTTGAAAAAATTTTAAAATTTTGCAGAGTTTATAAATAGGTACTGTAGAGAATGTGAGAAAGAGAGAACTGACTAGAGAAATAAAGTATTGCTGGATGGTACTGAGGATTCTACTGAAGTTGAAAATCACAAATGGATTTGTAGTGGCACCAATATGTACAGTTGTGCGATTTGCTAGAGTAGTGCTAAGCTGCTTGGCCTAGCAAGCCTGGGCTGGGTTTTTGCCAGGAAAATGTGATAGCAGGTCATCTAGGCAAGGAAGTTAAATTCATTGGCAAGAGGATGGTTGAAGTCATGAGCCACGAAGGAAGTGAAATAACTGAAAGTACTGATAGTGAGAAACAGGGAGAGTAAGTGCAAGAACATGTTTCTATAATGTTAAATAATAGATGTGGCAATAATAAAATGAAAGTTAAAAGAATAAGAGATGTCAGAGTGTAGGAAGGTTGAATTTAGGATTTCAGGGGAAGAATCAGTCTTGGAGGATCCAGAATCTAAGCTGGAAGAAGGAGGGTATTAATTAAGGAAAATGTAATAAGACCACACCACTTTGAGAAAGATGATTCTTGCAGCTATGTGTAGGTAGATAGGAGTGAGAAGATGCTGAACTAAAGCAGCTAAGAGGCTTATTTGCATAAATCAAGAACCACATATTTGAATTGTGGATATAAAGATGGGGGAAATAGGCTAATTTTTTTTTTTGCATTGAAAGGAATGTATGTAACTTTTCTTTCTCCAAAGAGATAAAAAACTAAATTTTTTTAGTCAATAATATATATGTATGTGTATGTGTGCATATGTGTATATGTGTATATACATATGTGTCTATATATAATCACACACACACATACATACATATATTTTTCATTCCATCCCAAGCTGAATTTTTGCATTTAACTTTTAGGCAAACCAATTTCATAATGTAACGGAAATAATGTTCTAATAAAAGATTTGCTTAAATCCATCTTCTTGTCTTTCTTATCTTTTTAGCATGCATATCTAATACTCAATGGAAGGTAGTGATAACAATCATATTATATTTTACGGCATTTTGCTGTATTTCTTTCTAGTCTTTTTTGACTGGACATATTCTTGATTGATTTTAGTTAATAGCATTTTCACACTTATACCTGTTTTCTTATTTAATGTGACAACATGAATATTATGTCTTTGTAAGCATCATATAGTATGACTGTGTAACATTATTTTCTTTCCTTTTAGTTATCAAAAAAGTATATCATTTCCATCAGTTCAACTTTCTCTCTCCTTATGCTTTGATCCCAAACACAGATGTGTATGTATATATAACAAAAACACTAATGCTTGTGGAAGGAGGATTCCCAGTTTGAATNAGCGAGAGGGAGTCTTCTTGCCTATTTTGTTTTATTCCTGCAGAGACTGACATTTTTAGCAAATTGGTTGTCTCTAATTTTAACAAATCAAGAGATTTCTACATGAAGATTCAAATTTATCTCCTGAAAAAAATCAGACAATCTGTCAATACCAGAACCTGTCTAGTGGATTTGAGTGTTGTGTGTCCCTTTTAGACAGGGTATGTGTTCACTTTCTCGTCACCATGCTGTCCACTGGAGGTTTCCAACATTGATATTACCTGCCAGTCGCCTGTGGGCATTTCATTTTCATACTTGATCTAGAGTAAAATAAAGGATAAATGAATGATTGCCTCTTCAATAAAAGCTGAAGCTGTCACTTCTCAATTAGTTACATGTGACTAACTTGTTGCCTACTTTAAAATTCTTTTGGAGTGGCCCTTTCTTCTACTATCTATCGTAGAAAAAATGCAATCTTAGCATTTATCCAAGTGAAACGGAATTAGAAATTAAATCCACTGCTTGATCACATAGAACATTCCAAAACAAAGTTCAAAAGAGTTGCTTCATATCACCTATTTGCATCTCTGTTCCCCTTTATTAGATGAAAAATCAAGAGCCAAATTCTTTCTAGTTCTCTGTCAGTGTAGCTTTTGTTAATTTGCTCACTTCGGGGCCAAATGCTGACATTAAAGGAACATAGAAGTTGTTTGTACCTAAACGTGTTTCATGAATCACTTGGAATTGCCATTGTTGGTACCATGTGTCCTGCTTAATAAAAAATAATCATCGAATGAACTCTTTCCTTATAATCATACAGGCCTGGTCTTAATGAGAGTCACAGCTGCTTTGTGCAACTGAAGAGCTTTTCTCTTTGGGAAGATTGCATCAAGAAAGTATCCATGATGAAGGATTCATGACAGAAATATCTTGGGTATCTCCAAACCTTAATTTAGTCATAGAAACATTTTTCATTTTCTTTGCAGGTGAAAGTAAATAATGATTTTAATTATGAATTTTACAATAGTACCTGGTCTTATGTAAAATCTACATCAAGCGAACATACATCATCTAGTAACAAGCGCTTCCTTTTTAGCTCTTCATCATCTAGTTCATACAGTTATCATTCACATACCAATAAAATCCATAAAGAAAAGGTTAGTAAAAATGTCAGCTAACTTTTCTCTATTTTACTGTTTTTAAGTGTTGCTTGCATTAATAAACTTGTATTAATCGAAAGGATCAACTTTCATATTAAAATTTGTAATAGTAATTGTACTACCTTTAAGAGACAATACAATATGTTTCTCTAAAAGGTACAATACTGTCTCATTAAATCTCTTTGATACTACATTTAGTTGTACTGGCCAGGCACAATGGCTCACGCCTGTAATCCCAGCACTCTGGGAGGCCAAGGTGAATGGATTGCTTGAGCTTGAGCTCAGGAGTTTGAGACCAGCCTGGGCAACATAGTGAGACCCTGTCTCTTTAAAAGTACAAAAATTGGCTGAGCATGGTTGTGCATGCCTGTAGTCCCAGCTACTCAGCAGACTGAGGTGGAAGGATCACTTGAGTCCGGGGGGAGTGGGAGCAGTGAGTCAATACCATGCCACTGCACTTCAACCTGGGTAACAGAGTGAAAACCTGCCTCAAAAAAACAAAAACAAAAACAAAATATGTATATGTATGTTTATTTATACATTTAAACTTCTCTTTAAAAGTATTTGTTTTTATTTGAAAATGTTTACAAACCCCTTATTACCTTGAAATCTTCTATTTTAAATGGTCTTAAATTTCTTACTTGTGATTACTGGTGATACTATTTTAAGTGTCATATACAATTTAAAAAATCTAATTAATGCTTATATATGCTTCTTAAATGCAAATGCTAGAGTCTTCTTAGAAGGTGCATGAAGATATAAGACTTTAAAAACATTTTATTACTTTTGAGATACCAACATTTTTATCTAAGAAAGCTAAAAGACTTATTTTTAAGTACTTCATTGTTTGGAAATACAGAAACTTTCCTCTTGAGAAACCTGAACAGTTGAGATGGATTGTACTAATTGATATAGAGTTATGGGTGAAGAATTTTTTTGGCTGATCATTATTTACAATCTGTACATTTCATCTCATTCTTAAAGTTAGTAATTTGATTAATAAATCACTTAGAAAGGTATAAGAAATATTGGTTTTGTTTTACGACTAAGAAACTGTGGAACTATGATTTGTAAAAACATTTATTGTCTCCATATTATGTTGTTCACATGGTGGGGGTTTGGCAAAAGTAGATCTGTGATCTGTCTTGGATGTCATTGAAAGATGCTTAGGAAGTGTTTAAAAGACCTCATTATAAAGTAGCTTAACCTGCAAATACCCTGGCATGACAGATAAATGATACCTACAAGTCATTTCAAGACAGGGACAATAAGATCACATTTACATATTTATATTTATCAGTTGATGGATTGATTCTTTTTTTCTAGTTGAAGATAGCATAGCAACTTGGCCTTGGGGTTTTGGAGGTTATATAAGAAGTTATCATATAATTTCTTTGCCTGTAATCTCAGCACTTTGGGAGGCTGAGGCAAGTAGATCACATGAGGTCAGGAGTTCGAGACCAGTCTGGCTAACATGATGAAACCCTATCTCTACTAAAAATACAAAAAATATCCGGGCATGGTGGCACATGCCTGTAATCCCAGCTACTCAAGTGGCTGAGGCAGGAGAATCCTGAATTCTTCTGAATTAATCCTGAACCCTAAAGCAATACTTTGTTGATTTCATATTGAGAGAAGGGGCCTTACTATATATCCAGATATGGGAGGGGATGGTGGTAGCTTAACATGGCATTACTCAGATTTCTTTTATTTTTTTGAGACTGAGTTTCGCTCTTGTTACCCAGGCTGGAGTGCAATGGCGCGATCTCCGCTCACCGCAACCTCCGCCTCCTGGGTTCAGGCAATTCTCCTGCCTCAGCCTTCTGAGTAGCTGGGACTACAGACATGCGCCACCATGCCCAACTAATTTTTTGTAGTTTTAGTAGAGACGAGGTTTCACCATGTTGACCAGGATGGTCTCGATCTCTTGACCTTGTGATCCACCTGCCTCGGTCTCCCAAAGTGCTGGGATTACAGGCTTGAGCCACCGCGCCCGGCCCAGATTTCTTTTTTTTTTGATACAGAGTCCCACTCTGTCATCGAGGCTGGAGTCTAGTGGTGTGATCACTGCTCACACCAGACAGAGGCAACCTCTGTCTCCTGGGTTCAAGCGATTCTCCTACCTTAGCCACCTGAGTAGCTCGGATTACAGGTGTGTGCCACCATGGCAGGCTAATTTTTGTGTTTTTAGTGGAGATAGGGTTTCATCATGTTAGTCAGGCTGGTCTCAAACTCCTGACCTCAAGGGCTCTGCCTGCCTCAGCCTCCCAAAGTGCCGAGATTATAGGAGTGAGCCACCGTGCCTGGCCATTCCTCAGATGTTATTACTATTTGAGACTCCACATATTCCTGATTGTGTCCTGTTGGTGGGCCCATAGGAGTGATCATCATGTGTCAAAAATAAAAATTAATGTAGTCTGGGTTGATTGGAGGTGAAAGTTGGTGGAGATATTGAAAAGAGAACTATTTTCATTGCCTTGCTATCTTCCACCTGAAGCTCCTTGTACTCTTTTTTCTCTCCATAGAGTTATCAATTGTTGGTTGTAGACAACACCGTTGAAGTGGCTCAGTTCATTAATAACAATCCAGAATTTTTACAACTTGCTGAGCCATTCTGGAAGGAGCTTTCCCACCTCCCCTCTCTGTATGACTACAGTGCCTACCGCAGACTAATCGACCAATATGGGACACATTATCTGCAATCTGGGTCCTTAGGAGGAGAATACAGAGTTCTATTTTATGTGGACTCAGAAAAACTCAAACAAAAGGGTATAGTATTAAAAAATTTGTTGTCTAAAAGCATTTCTGGGATTTTAATGGGGAAATAACACGTACTTATGTAAGCGTTTGAGCTTTAAAATTTGACAAATAAAGATTTAAATTGCAAAGGAATCCAAAATTGCAAGAATGTATTATTCTGTACTTAAAATCTTACATGGTTTAAGAAAAGCCTGTCTACTCTTTTGGATAGTACCTTGAGCTAAATCACTGTTATTACTGGCTATCCCCAGAGGGTATTGGTTGGATTTTTAAAATGCTTTTTAAACTTTCCCCTTTCTCAGACTAAACAGTATTTCTCAAGAAAAACTAATGAGGAATTTAGTAATATTTCATAAATCAAAATGTTTAAATAAGTATTTCATTTACTTTTTTTTTTTTACTGTTCACATTCTTTTAAGAAAATCTGATTTGAATATCACACGTTCATTTACTACTTAATACTTGTAACAATAGCTTAAATTGATTGGATACCTTCCTTATGACAAGTGAGTTTCATGTATTAGTAGTAATTCTTGCTATTACCCAATGAGATGGGCATTCTAATCTCTGTCCCACAGATTGAGAAATAGAGACTCAGTGCTATTATGAGACTCATCCAAGGTCAAGTGAATTGTAAGGAGGGTATTTAAGGCTGGGTCTAACTGGCCTCAAAGTCAGTTTGGCTTATTCCTTATGATGTCACTGCTAAAATTGCCTGATTTTGGTTAGAATCAGGACATGCCTCTGAATTAATGCTTTGATAATTTCATATTGAGAGAAGCGTCCTCATTATCTGTCCAGACGTGGGAGGGGATGGTGGTGGCTTAGCATCCACTCCTCCTCTTCAGAGACTAGCCTTGGCTTACTAATGTTCTTTATTTTTTAGTTATTTTTAATTTTTAAATTTTTTTCGAGATGGAGTCTCGCTCTGTCATCAGGCTGGAGTGCAGTGGCATGATCTCGGCTCACCGTAACCTCTGACTCCGTGGTTCAAGCGATTCTCCTGTCTCAGCCTCCCGAGTAGCTGGGATTACAGGCACACACCGCCACACCCAGCTAGGCTTACTAATGCTCTAAGTCCAAATTTTTTCCCAACTTTGTCTTTTAGCAGATGCCCACATGTCCTTCTCTATTCCAAATCCCCTCTTCAAGGTCTTACTCTTCAGAAAAGATTCTGTTACAACCTTGGAGAAGAATAAGACCTCTTACATAAGATTCAGAGGAAGTCTTGTAGCTTTTTAAATGGGTAAACTATAATTTTTTTTTCTGTTTCCATTGAGCTATTTCTTTATAGGTCTCTACCACATAAATTTTAACTGGAATTTGATCTTTTCAAATCTTACAGGTTGGAAATGAGTGCACAAGTTTAGGTTTTTATAGCAAAGATGAGGACACTATTTCTTTGGAGAATCAATCTAGCAAGTAGTTTGATCTAAATTCAGTTTTACTTCTTTTTATTGCACTAAAAAGAAATGGAGAGGATTAAAAAAAACTTTCCAAGCTGGTAAAATTATATTTTTCAGTAAAAATTTTATTCTTGAGCAGTTTATGTTTTTCCCCAAATTTTTATTTAAATATAATCAAAACTTCTGAGATATAATGTATGCCCCAAATAATTGGTCTCTAAGAAACATTAAGGCTATTATAATATAGTTAGTAAAATGAGAAAATATATTTTCACATCTTATTATTTTTTATCATACTTTTAAAAAATGCATTGGAAAAACTGCACTGGATAATGAGTAGAAATGATCACATTCTAAGTTTATGAGTCATGAGAAGGAGATTGGAAGTCACAGATGTTGAGGATGGAGAGATTGAGCCAGTAGAACTTGAGTTTTAGGAGTTAATTCCTGTAGAAACCAAAGCCAGCTTTGGCAGTCTTAAGTAGATTTGCTGGAAGAAGCTGTCACACTTCTACTTTTATGGATTTATTTTGTGCCTAAGAAGCCGACTGTAAATGGGTAAAAGATACTCTTTACGGTGTTCAGTTTCTACTCCCTGCATTATTTTATGTAGAAATCCCCCTGGTCTCCCCTCTGTGACTGAAGCTAATAGAAGGAAAATAACAAAAGTCAAATACCTTTATTCTGATCCTTAACTCTTCTAGAGTACTTGAAAATATTCATATTATGTCACTCTTGATTAGATGGCCATAGTAGCCAGAAACAACCTCTTATCCCTACTCTCATATATGAAGATCTTCAAGAAATGCAGAAATTAAATATGTCTCTTTTACATATTTTCCCCCAGATTTTGGTTCAGCAGAAGGAAAAAACTGTAAATCCTCAGGTTGGAAATTTTTATTTTCTTCATCAAGACATAAATGCAAGGAAATGGAAGATGCTTTTAAATCTGATTCAGGTAAATGAAAAGAGCAATTTGCATTGCAAGCTTAACCTCTTTTTAAAATTTTATTTTAAGTTCAGGGGTACATGTGAAGTTATATAGGTAGATTTGTGTCATGGGGCTTTTTTGTACAGATTATTTTGTCACCCAGGCATTAAGCTTAGTACTCATTAGCTATTTTTGCTGATCTTTTCCTCCTCCCACTCTCCACTCTCCAAAAAGCCCCAGTGTGTGTTGTTCTCCTCCCTATTTCCATATGTTATCATCATTTAGCTCCTGCATATATGTCAAAACATGCAATGTTTAGTTTTCTTTTCCCGTGTCAGTTTGCTAGGGATAATGGCTTCCAGCTCCATTCATGTCACTGCAAAGGACATGATCTTATTCTTTTTTATGGCTCCATATTATTCTATGGTGTATATGCACTAGATTTTGTTTATCCAGTCTATCATTGATGGGCATTTTGTTTGATTCCATGTCTTTGCTATTGTGAATAATTACAAGCTTAACCTCTACTCCACTCTTCTGTGGTTCATTCTTGATCTCTAAGGGCTTTCGAGGCTTTAACAGGTGTTCTACTCTGTGTTTTTAAAAATCTATTTGGTAATTTTTTTGCCTCTGATCTCTCTTTCATATGTTGTGGTACTGAGATATCACACAGACTAGGGAGTTCACTAGGTTATATCCTCTGTATTATAAATATGTAATCAGTGTACAGCAGATTCCTCCCTTGTGATGATTGGCAAACAAGCCTAGACAAGTGTCAATATCAAGAGAAGATTCAGTTTCACCTGCTGACATGAATACTCTATGGAGGTCAGGTTTTTGGTTCATGGTGGTTGGCAGTGGAGATGGGGGGAAGGTGGTGTGTTAGTCTTCAGGTGATTGAAGAAGGACTGAAAGGGTAAACTGATCTAGACTATGAAGGTACCATGTTAAGGAGTTTGGATTTTATTCTGATGGCTAGAGGATGCCATTAATAGATTTAACACATGAAGTGATTAAATAAAAGATTACCTAAGTAAAGTTGTAGAGAATAAAGAAGAATGGAGAAGGAAAAATTTGGGAGCATAAAAAAACAAGAGATGGAAAGTAAGGGAGGAGAGAGGTCAACAGAGTGAAATACTACACAGAAATCAAGTAAGATAAGGACCGAAAAATGTTCATTGGATTTGGTGATTAAGACTTGGTTGCTGCTTTTGAGAAGTGTCTGTTCATGCCTTTTGTCCATTTTTAGTGGGGTTATTTATTTTTTTACTTGGTAAGTTGTTTAAGTTCCTTATAGATTCTGAGTATTAGACTTTTATCAGATGCATAGTTTGCAAATATTTTTTCCCATTCTGTAGGTTGTCTGTTGCACATTGATAGTTTCCTTTGTTGTGCAGAAGCAGAAACAGGAAACCAAATAGTGCATGTTTTTACTTTTAAGTGGGAGTTGAACATTGGGTACTCATGGTTACAAAAATGGCAACAATAGTCACTGAGGACTGCTAAGGAGGGGAGGAAGAGAGAGGTCAAGGGTTGAAAAACGATTCAGTACTATAGTCACTACCTGGGCGTTGGCATCAATCATACTCCAAACCTCAGTATCACATAATACAGCCAGGTAACAAACCTGAACATGCACCTCATTAATCTAGAATAAAGGTTTTTTAAAAAAAGTTGCTGTTAAAGGAAAAGATTCCATAGTATGGTAGGGATGGAAGTGAGACTGCAGTGCAGTACTATTATAGAGTTCATAATTAAAATCATTATTTACTTTCACCTGCAAAGAAAATGAAAAATGTTGCTATGACTAAATTAAGGCTTGGAGATACCTAAGATACTTTTGTCATGGATCCTTTATCATGGATGCTTTCTTCATGCAATCTTCCCAAAGAGAAAAGCTCTTCAGTTGCACAAAGCAACTGCGACTCTCGTTAAGACAAGGCCTGTTTGATTGCAAGGGAAGAGGCCATATTCGTGAGGCCATAGACTGAGCAGTATCAGAGCCGAAATCCTCTTGGGGTAATGGCACAGGTGAACACCGACCCATGTGTCATGGTTCTCAGTGAAGATGCAGGGATTCTTGGGATATTGGTAGATGAATACAAGAAGGAGGGAGATGAGTAGAAAAACCAGGTTTAGGTACTCATTCACTTTCTTCATTAATCCACTATTTATGGAGTCTGTGGTATGTGCCAGGAATTGTTTTAGACACTCAAGATATAGCCGTGAATATGCCAGAGAAAGTGCTTGTCTTCATATAGTTGACATATCCGAGGAGGAAAAGGTTTTGAATGAAGTGGAAAAATAATAATCTGAACATAGAAATGAAAGTAAAAACTTTGAGAAAATGTTGACATCAGTTCTCAGATGATCTGGCAGTTGGAAGCTGCTTACCAATTTTATTTTATTTCATAGTTAACAAACACAGAGCACCTACTATGTGCCAGCACAATTTTAAGTGATTTACAAAAATTAACCAACATACTCTTCCTACCTTAGTGTTAAGTATTATTCACATTTTGGGGACACTAAGGCCCAGAAATGTTGACCAAGATTATAGAATAAGAATTAGATATGAAATGCAAATGCATAAAATCTGGCTTCACAGTCTGGAGTCTTCACTGTTGCACTGGGCTGCTTTTTCTAGGAAAAAAGTTAGCTGGAATAGAGAGCTCACTGGGGTATGGAAAGGAAGGCTAAAACCTTAAACATAAATTAGTGGATTTCTTCGAACCTGTAATTCTTAAGTTACAGGTGTGCTGGGTAAGGCAGTGATTCCCAAACGTTAGTATGCATGAGGATTACCTGGGGGATCCTCTTAAAATGCTGATTCCAAAGGTTGTTCATTCTCTCAGATATTCTCTTGTAGGTCTTGGTGGGGACTAAGAAGTCTATGTTCCCCTCAGATGATTGTGATTCAGTAATACAGGGACGAGACTTTGTGATACACTGAATTAAAAAGGGTGACTATCTGTATATTTAAAACACAGCTAGCAATGAAGATGAGGAAACATCAGGTAATTTGCTAAAATTATCAGGATTTACAGGCACAGAAAGTCAAATATTGCATGTTTTTATATATGAGAGCTGAAAAAGTTGATCTCATGGAGATAGAGTAGAATGATAATTATCGGAGGCTGGTGGGCGGTCAATGAAGAGAGGCTGCTTAATGGGTATAAACATATAGTTCAGTAAAAGGAATAAATTCGACCAGGTGCGGTGGCTCATGCCTATAATCCCAGCACTTTGAGAGACTGAGGTGGGTGGATCATGAGGTCAAGAGATTGAGACCCTCCTGGCCAACATGGTGAAACCCCGTCTCTATTATAATTACAGAAATTAGCTCGGTGTGGTGGCCCACGCCTGTAGTCCCAGCTGCTCAGGAGGCTGAGGCAGGAGAATCTCTTGAACCTGGGAGGCAGAGGTTGCAGTGAGCCGAGATTGTGCCACTGCACTCCAGCCTGGCAACTGAGTGAGACTCCGTCTCAAAAAAAAGAGAAAAAAAAAAAGAATAAATTCTAGTGTTTGATCATAGTCAGGTGGCTAGAGTTAACAAAATTTATTGTACATTTTCAAATAGAAGATTTGAAATGTTCCCAACACAAATGATACGGTCATGGATATCCTAAATACCCTGATTTGATCATTACAGATTCTATGCATGTAACAAAATATCACATGCATCCCATAAATATGTACCATTATTGTGTATAAATAAAAGATAAAAAAGCAAAAAAACCCCACACTATCAGGCTTTAATGATTTCTGAATATGAGTACAATATGCTCATTTTATGAAATTGCAAAATTTGGACAGTTACAAGGAAATGAAAACCACTCAAAATCCGATCAGCAAAGTTGGAAAATTCTTGTCATGACCTGTGTAAAAACCATTACAAATAGAGATAAAGTATTTCTAAAATTATGAGGCACATAAATAGAAAAAAGAATTCAATTAGCATTTCATACTTTTCAGAACTTGTTTCATGTGTTAAGTAATGGATTCCTGTTAATTAACAGCTTATTTTATTCATTATTATACCAGCTGCAAGAACCTGTTTTCCCTCCAATATTTTATTATGAAAAATTTAAAACATATAGATAAGAACATAGTAATAAATATCGATATGCCAATTTCCTATGTACAATTATTATTTTGTAATTTTACTAAATATATGTACATATAATATTTATAATATTGACTGATTCTTTTAAGTACTATGTATTTAAAGTATTTTATTTGCTGAACTATTTATTTGGAAGTAAGTTTCAGATATCATAATACTTCATCCCTAAATATATGCATGTATCATCTAAGAAGAACATTGTCTTGCATAATGTGATACTCTATTACACTAAAAATATAAAGAACATGAGCAATAATTCCCTAATATCATCTACTGTCAGGCAAGAGTCTTTTTCTTTTTTAAAAATATACCTTAGCATTGGCTGGGTGCAGTGGCTCACGCCTGTAATTCCAACACTTTGGGAGGCTGAGGCGGGCAGATGACTTGTGGCCAGGAGTTCGAGACCAGCCTGTCCAACATGGTGAAACTCCATTTTTACTAAAAATATAAAAACTAGCTGGGTGTGGTGGCGTATACCTGTAGTCTCAGCTACTCAGGAGGCTGAGGCATGAGAATCGCTTGAACCCCGGAGGCGGAGATTGCAGTGAGCATGTCACTGCACTCCAGCCTGGGCGACAGAGTGAGACTGTCTTAAAAAAAAAAGAAAACCATCAAAAAACAAAATACATATACCTTAGTTTTTAGAGCAGTTTTATGTTCACAGCACAACTGAGTGCAAAGTACAGAGAGTTCTTGTATATCCCCTGCTCCTATACAGGTAAAACCTTCCCCACGATCAACACTCCTTATCAGAGTAGAGTATTGGTTAGAATGGATGAATCTATGTTGACACATTGTCATCCAAAGTCCATAATTTACATTAGGGTTCACTCTTGGTGTTGAACATTTAATGACTTTTGTCATTAAATATATAATGTATATATTTGTATAATTTATACAAATATGTAATGACATGTGCCCATCATTGTAGTATTATATAGAACAGTGTCACTGCCCTAAATATCATTTGGGTTATTCCTATTCACCCCTCCCTTCTTCCTGACCACAACTTATCTTTTGACTGTTTACATAGTTTGGCTTTTTCCAGGATGTCATGCAGTTTGATAGATTATTTTTTAATGCTTGATAGATTTTTCACTTTTCATTTGTTTTCTTCTATATAGGAACCGGCGGCAATGTGATGCGAGGAGACCCCTTTGTCAGAGGGGGAGCTGTGGGCTTTGTATCCGGCCTTAGTTACCTAGAGCTAGACAACCCTGCTGGAAACAAAAGACGATATTCTTCCTGGGCAGAATCTGTGACTAATCTTCCTCAAGTCATAAAACAAAAGGTATGTGAGGCTTTGTTTAATGCTATAGGGAAGCAGTCATGTTTATTTGCATGAGGAAAATGAAGGTGGTTAAATCAAGAGGCTAAATAAATACATGGCTGTAATTAGCATTTCTGTGTCCCAATTATATTTTGTAGAGTAAAATGAATGCACACATAATAAGAAGCAGAAGGTGTGTTATATTTGTATTTTAGTGGCAAACATTAAATGTCTTGCAACTTCCAAGATAAATTAATGACAAAATTTGCATGTTTAACTTTTTTTTTTTTTTTTTGAGACGGAGTTTCGCTCTCGTTACCCAGGCTGGAGTGCAATGGCGCGGTCTCGACTCACCGCAACCTCCGCCTCCTGGGTTCAGGCAATTCTCCTGCCTCAGCCTCCTGAGTAGCTGAGATTACAGGCACGTGCCACCATGCCCAGCTGATTTTTTGTATTTTTAGTAGAGGCAGAGTTTCACCATGTTGACCAGGATGGTCTTGATCTCTTGACCTTGTGATCCACCCGCCTCGGCCTCCCAAAGTGCTGGGATTACAGGCGTGAGCCACTGCGCCCGGCCATGTTTAACTTTTGATCTGTTTGATTATGTTTTCCTTCGTCCCTAAGTCAGAGGAGTTACAGATTCTTGCAAGGGGAAGGCATGTAGGTTTGCCTTCTGTTACGTTCCCATCACCTTTCTTTGTGTAGCTGTGCCTTGTGGGCTCCTGAAATCATGCAAATCAGGATAGTACCAAGTTGGCTGGCAGAATTTTTTAAAGATGTTTTATTGTTATCATCAGTTCTTTTATACGCAACATATGTGTTTCTAAAAATCACTGGGCTACGCAAAATTGCACAGTAAAGGGCTCATGGAAAAAAAATCAGGTTAGAGACACAGCACTCAAATTTATCATCTGTTACACTGATATGAAAAAGATAGGTGCCAATAAAAATAGCCACATGGCTTTATGCATGTTAAATTATTTAAAAATGTGGCTGGATGCAGTGGCTCACGCCTATAATTCCAGCACTTTGGGAGGCTGAAGTGGGCGGATCACGATGTCAGGAGTTCGAGACCAGCCTGACCAACGTGGTGAAACCCCGTCTCTACTGAAAATATAAAAATTAGCTGGGCCTGGTGGTGCGCCTGTAATCCCAGCTACTCAGGAGGCTGAGGCAGGAGAACCACTTGAACCCAGGAGGTGGAGGTTGTGGTGAGCTGAGATCGCGCCCCTGCCCTCCAGCCTGGGCGACAGAATGAGACTCCATCTGAAAAAAAACTGTATCTGTAGTACAATAATTGTGGCGAATTACCTAGAAAAAGACCGCAAGCTTTCTAGGTGCTGGAAGGGTTAGGGCTTGTAAGTTACTGTGAAGTAGTAGAAGGACAGCAGTTAGAAACCTGCCAGACATTTGTAATAGTGGATATGGATAGATATAGTTTATAATGCAGGAAATGAACTGACATAGATGCTGAGGGGTGTGTGAATGTGTGTGCATGTGTGTGTGTGTGCATGCACATGCATACACGTGAGTTTTGTATATTCCTATATGGCTTGTTTCAGGTGTGTGAAGCTTTTTGTGTTGATCCTGTGTTTCATGTGGACAAAATTGTACCTAAGAAAACCCCATGCTCAAAATTTTCCCATTATATCAATCTCAATGGAATAAATTCACCTTTTCAAAGCAAATATTATAGCAGAACTGATTCTATAATCCATTCCCTGCATGAAAGTCAAACGATGTCCCAGGCAAAGCCTGATTTTCAGAGATACATTTTATAAACACAAAAATTGCAATAGGTCCTCAAGTCCCCTCCTAACACCATACAGTACCCATTGGCTTCCAAATACAAATGAGGGAGGGAGGGTGAGTTTTTCCTAGAAAGTCTTATCTGAAAGGACCATCTATTAATATTCAAAATGGCCTGTATGCATTGTCAGCATCCCATACAAATCTTTAGAAATGCTAAATTATTGGTTAGAGAAAAGCAGACATTCTTCAACAGTCTCTATGCACTTTTGCACACAGGATTGTAAATTATCATAGTTGTGCTAACTTTTTAGCAGGGCAAAAAAGGAACAGAGAAAGGAAAGGCACTATGCAGGTACAGGTATATGGCAATGCAAAGCCATCGTGTTCAGAAGAGCTCGGGCTCTCAGGAACCAATGGTGCATATCTCTTCCCACTTCAGGCATCGTGGTGGCAGCCTGAATTGGATATGGTGAGAGTAGCTACACTGCAGAAACTGACAAATGCTAGAAAACAGAGATGTTTTTGTTCCTGAGAGAGCAGACTGTTAAAGTTGAGTCAGTACATCTGTGATTTCAAAGTTGCTTTTCTTCTGAAATATCCAACACAAAGTAATAATGTTTACCTGTTTTAAATTTCTCCATGAGGAAAGAATCCATAATTTCCACTAAGAGACATGTTAAATCTCTCAGTCAGGAAATTTAATTCTAAATTTAATTTCACTTGCTTCTTTGCTGTAATTGAAGTACATTTACTCTTCTTCTGTCTTCAATAGGGATGGTAATGTATTATCTTCAAAGTAATCTTCATTAACTAGAAAATGAATGTCTTTTTTTTTTAATTTTATGCATGCACAAAAAATATAAAAAAATTCTTCCACTATCTGATCCTAGTTTTCCCTAAATTTGTCTTGATTTTGTTGCAAGGAGAGTGCACTGTTTTCTTTTGTATTTGAATAACAAACAATTGTAACAAACTTACCCGTGGCTTTTGATGTTGTTTTAATGAGAGTTGACCCTAAACATGAAAAGCAAAATATTCTTGCCTAAATCCCTGATTACACACTATGATGTCTTTATCTCTATAGCTGACACCTTTATATGAACTGGTAAAGGAAGTACCTTGTGCCTCTGTGAAAAAACTATACCTGAAACGGGCTCTTGAAGAGTATCTGGATGAATTTGACCCCTGTCATTGCCAGCCTTGTCAAAATGGTGGCTTGGCCACCGTTGAGGGGACCCATTGTGTGTGCCATTGCAAACCATACACATTTGGTGCAGCATGTGAGAAAGGAGTCCTCGTAGGGAATCAAGCAGGTCAGTGGGGTGAATTTTCTCTAGTCACCCTGTACACATTGAAAGGGAATTACCCTGTCTGTCTGCTCCTTGAGATGCTTCTTTGTGTATGGAGAGATGAAGTCTCATATGAATTTAGAATCTTCCCTCCCTTCCCCACTTTCAGGTTGTAGCTACTAAGGTTAAGGCTGTTTGCTGTTATCTCTATTTATCCATCTGAACTAACAGCCCCACTGTGCCCTCCACTCCTCATTCTCTATTAGAATAGAGTTATGATTGAAACACCTTCCATCCTCTGTAATTATCTCAGTAAGATTCTGCTGTATCAAAGGTCTATGGAACTTGTGTGTTTGCATTGCCTAAACTTTCTGATGGCATGCTCTTTGAAATGTTGGTGTTTCTATTCTGTATGATGTATGGTGTTTCTATTCTATCAATCACTCACAAATATTTATTGAACATCTGCTGTGTGCTCTACAGTGTGTATGATGCTTCAAGCACTTAGTACAGGGCTATGTGAAATTGACTTTATGAGTAGTCAAAGTATGACCACAGTCTGTATACTTTTGCTTCTGTGTTTATTTACATGTCTGTCTCTTTTAGAAAGCTCATTACTGAATCTCGGGCTGTTTGATTCCTTTCTTTATTCCCAGAGCTTGACAAAGGCTTGATTCATAGAAGTCACTAAATAAATGATAAATGAATAAATATAAAACTAAACTATAGATGCTTATAGACAAGCATTATGAAGGCATCCTTATTCCCAAATGTTTCTCCAAGTGGCCTGTTCTGGTAAATTAAAATTCTACCAGTGTGATTCATTCCTTTGTGGCTTGGATTTCCCCTTATCCATTAAAGTGGAAGCACCCCCTCCTGCTGTCTAAATAGAATGGTAACAAACTTCCTGCCCACCTGCATTCACTGTTGTGAGAAGTAAATAAATGATACAATGTACATGAAAGTGCTTTGAAACAGTTGTAAAATAATCAACAAATTAAAGATATTGTTGCAAGAGGTTCACTAATGCAACTGTAACATGGACATTGCTAGTCTGTGTGCAGAACCATTCTGAGCATTGTAGAAAACCTCAATGAAGAGTGAAGGTAATCGATATCTAGAATGATCTCTTCCTCCAGTTAACTTGTTAGCAGGAAGCACAGCACTAAGCTCCCAATTCCTCCTCTTTAAGAACTTATTGGACAACCTCTTTTTTCATCTTGTAGGAGGGGTTGATGGAGGTTGGAGTTGCTGGTCCTCTTGGAACCCCTGTGTTCAAGGGAAGAAAACAAGAAGTCGAGAATGCAATAACCCACCTCCCAGTGGGGGTGGGAGATCCTGCATTGGAGAAACAACAGAAAGCACGCAATGTGAAGATGAGGAGCTGGAGCACTTGAGGTAATGGAGTCCCGACCCCTGGCAGTTGCATAGAATACAGTGCCCTCTGCAGTTAGTGTGGAACACACGATTGCTGCTGTCAAGAGATTTAGAAGCTAAGTGGCTGCTTTTCCAGGGACTGCTTTGTCCCGTAGTACCAGGGAGAGTTGAAGGAGCCTGCTCTGTGTGCTTCAGGTTTTCCTGACACAAGTGTGACAAAAGGCTGGGTAATTGGGAGTAGTACACCTGGGTGGATATGATTATCCGTTTTTGCCACCTACAGGCTGTGTGACCTTGGGCAAGTTACTGGCCGCGTCTCTAAAATTAGAATGATAATAGTAGGTATACTGATAATAAGATTATCTGTTTATTGTTATTTTCAGAATTAAAGTGATTACTAAGCATTCAGTAAAGATTGTATTACTTTTCAGATATACCATTCTTACTCATTTATCTTTTGGATTAAGCATAGAGCCAGATTCTTGAGATGGGGAATATCTTGGCAGGTGAACCCAGTAGCCTGGCACTAACTTCCCATTTGTCAGGACCCTGCAAAAGCCATCTCAAAAATGCTCAATTGATGAATCATACCACTGGGTCAGAATTCTTTATGCCACACACTGTTTTACATTGTCCTTAGTAATTTTTGCTAACTGCAGTTGGCAAAATGTTCTAGCAAGATAATTTAAAGGTCATGTGAGTTGAAGAAAGAGATGAGGTGCTTGGCTATCTGGTAGAAGCATAGGGAGGTGGGAAGCCTTAACTCTGTCTTTGGTGCCTTGTGACCTGGCGTTAATCAGTATCTCTTGACTGAGGAAGTTGGCAAGCGTATGAATGCTAGTGGGCAGAGGGTGCTGGCTGCTGTGCACGTTTCTGGGAGGATGAGGGTCTGGGAGGAGGTCTCTGCCTAAGAGGATGCGATTTTTCCTGTTTTTCAACATAAAGCTAGGAGGAGAGGTGCATCCTAAGAAAGGCATTGAAGAGATTTTCACTCTTGGTGCTCAGGGGAGGGGAGTGTCTTCCTCCTCGGTACAAATAGGAAAATTCAACTAGCCACAGTTTCCTCAAAGTGTGGCAAAATTATAAGGAACTCAGCTGAGAAGGAGGCAACACTCCCAGGCTGTTTGTACTGCTTTCTCTCAGGTTTTGTGTCTCTGGAGTGGAGGTAATATTGGTGTTATTTTGACCTTCGAGACAGTCTTGAAAACCATTGTTTAATGACAGATGACATCATTATCATAATTACAAGCTGCCCCAAAAGATGGTCATGGTGACGGTAAAGTGTCAGGATTGGCACTTGTGGGATGATATTAGGACTTCTGTTCTCCCATCTTCCTTTTAGGTTTAAGATCCTTACTCCAAGCCTTATTAAAACTTGCTTTCACCAAATAACATGCTATCAGTTATCCATGTTCAGAAAAAAACACTAAGACTTCCTATTCCCTCTATTGCCTTGTGAGAGGTAGAAGGTGTACAATTGTAGGAGCCTAATTGACTAGACGTAAATCCAGCTCTGGTATTTGTTAGTTATTATAATCTTGGACAAATTATTCAAATTTTCCCTGCCATTGTTTTTTCCATGTATCCCATGGTGTTGCTGTATGAATTGAGATAATGTATGTATGCAGAGCAACTGCCATGGTGCCTGACACATAGTAAATGCTTAGTAAAAGGTAGTTATAATTTTGTGTTACCTCTCTTGAGGTCACTAACTCTAATTACCATCTTCTTTTTTTTTTTTTTTTTTTTTTTTTTTTTTTTTTTTTTTTTTTTTTTTTTTTTTTTTTTTTTTTGAGATGGAGTCTCACTCTGTTACCCAGGCTGGAATGCTGTGACGCGATCTCAGCTCACTGCAGCCTCCGCCTCCGAAGCTCAAACGATTCTCCTGCCTCAGCCTCCTAAGTAGCTGGGATCGCAGGTGTTTTTGCCACCATGCCTGGCTAATTTTTGTATTTTTAGTAGAAATGGGGTTTCACCTTGTTGGCCAGGCTCGTCTTGGAACTCCTGACCTCAGGATGTTTGCCCGCCTTTGTCTCCCGAAGTGCTGGGATTTCAGGCGTGAGCTGTCGCGCCTTGCCCAATTATCTTATTTTCAATACGGAGTTAATCCTGTGTTAAATGAATTTCAGAACCAAACAGAAGGAAAACTAGGTTCTGAAACAGGTGACCTCTAGAAACAGAAAGTAGTGTGTTGGCCTAAGACTTCCTTTTTTTTCATTCTGTTTGCTTTTCATGCTACTGACCTAGCAGCTGTTTAAATCACTGTCTTTTGGTAGCTTGAGTTTGTGTTTGAGTTTTCTACCACAGGATGTAAGCAGATATTTGGTTCTAAGAATGACAAAGATATCACAGCAATGTACTTATATGAATGGAGTTCCTCCAGATACAAAGGAGAAATCCAATGTAATGCAAAATAATTGTTATACTGTGCAAATCAATCATATTAATTACATGTGTTTTTCTTTTCCTTTCAGAATGCTTGAACCACATTGCTTTCCTTTGTCTTTGGTTCCAACGGAATTCTGTCCATCCCCTCCTGCCTTGAAAGATGGATTCGTTCAAGTTGGTTATGAAAGCTTTTTTTTTTTCCCTTTGTAATTCTCCAACTTCTATCTCTCTACTGAGCCCTCAATCCATTTTTTTCTTCCATGGTGAAGCCATGCTAAAAATATTTTATATGTGCATTTTAGTTTTAGTGGTAAGGGTTTTAGTATGTGACTTTTTTTCCTTGGCCCAAGGTGATTTGAATTCTGTAAGATACAGTGTGTCTTCTGTGGTGTGGGAAATCAGTGCTGCCGCCCAGTGACTCAGAAACGTAATCATGCCAGAGGGCTACTGAACTTTGCCACCCTAAACACCAAACCGCGAATCTGCAAGCTTGCTCTTTAACTTAGAGAACTTCTCTTATTTTTGCCATGGAGAGAAGTCTTTTTTTATTCCTCATAAGTGTAGTCCCTGAGATGAAGTGTTAGGTTTATTCCAGAAGTCAATAAGACAGTTAGCAGTGGCTAGTGAGATATGGATCATGTTACTTTGAGCAATTGAACTTTCCTATTCAGGAAAGAAGAGTAGTCACCTGCTTTTTGTCACTCTGGGAACTGTTGTTGTTCTTGGTTTTGGGGGTATTTTAATTAGTGCTGCTCTCAGCCGTTGTGACGAGGCTTTGACCTGCAGCCCCAGTGGTGCGTCTTCATGGCTCACACAGGATGCTATTCATGAGGGCTTGCTCCCTGTTGCCTGCCCTGCTTTCCTCATGTGAGGTTGTGCTTTTCAAATCTCAGGCCTTTGAACATGAGTTCACTGAAAATTTACTGAGGTTTCCCCAAACGTAAATGTAGGCACTATTGGGAGATGAAAGTTGTGTGTTCTCGTGTGTGTGTGTGTGTGTGTGTGTGTGTGAGAGAGAGAGAGAGAGAGAGAGAGACAGAGAGACAGAGAGACAGAGAGACAGAGAGAGATAGAGAATGAACCTAACATCTCTAATACCCATTCTGTCCTACCAGAGTTACCATAATTCATGGAGTTCCTGAATGGAACAGACGCTCAGAGAAACAGGCCAAGCAAACTCATGCACGTTAGCAAACCATGAAGCTGCTGTCCACCACTCTATTGTGTGTGGTGTCCTTTTAGGAGCCAGGAGTCCCAAACATTGCTCTATGGACTGGCTGTATCCCAATTACTCAGGGAACTGAGATTGCTGTTTCTCCCTTGTCCTCTACATTTTCTGATTTGATAAGTTGGGAGTACAGCCTGAGAGTTTATTTTTTAATGTCTACAAGTGATTATGATATACAGCCACAATTGTGCCCTGTTGAATCAGACTTCCTCATATAAAAGTTTTTTTTGTTTTTTTTTTTTTGCATGGTAGAGGAAGGAATAGGATCATGAATCAAAACAGAACATGTGCCTCTCCCCATTTCCCTCAAACCTCAGCATCAACCTGGGCCCTCTGTTTCCTACCAACTTCCATGATAGAGCCAGATCGGGCCAGGACGTGCAGCACGACAATGGGAAGGAGATACCAGGAAATCTTGTTCTGATCCCTAGAGCAGAGCTGGTTTAGGCATCAGCTCTAAGCCCTTTCCCAAGCATGAGTTTTTTCACCATCCCCTTGGGTGGAAGAGAATGAGAACAGTAAGGAAAGGAACCAAGAGAGACCCCGAATGAGTGTGATTACCCCTCATCCACCCACAGGCTCAGACTTCAAATTCCTCCTTTCTTCACCATGAAAGCTCACTTCCCGGCATTACAGGCTAATGAAACTTTCCTCAATCTGACCCACCCCAGCAGCATTCCATATATACAGCGTGGAGTGGGAGGGTAGGATGGGGGAAGATCAACATTATGCTTCCCCTAAAAGTTATCAGCGAGCATAACTTAAACTTTCATGAGCAGACTGATTGGATTGGAAAATTTCTGACTGTTCATGCTGCCATTTTGTAGGCAGTATTGCCAATGAACAGCTCATACATTGTTTTTGTTGTTGTTGTTGTTTGTTTTGTTTTTGAGAGAGAGAGAGTCTTGCTTTGTCGCCCAGACTGGAGTGCAGTGGCGCTATTTTGGCTCACTGCAACCTCTGCTCCCCGTGTTCAAGCTATTCTTGTGTCTCAGCCTCCTGAGTAGTTGGGGCTACAGGCATGCGCCACCACGCCTAGCTAATTTTTGTATTTTTAGCAGAGACAGGGTTTTGCCATGTTGGCCAGGCTGGTCTTGAACTTCTGACCTCAGGTGATCCACCTATCTCAACTTCCCAAAGTGTTGGGATTACAGGCGTGAGCCTCTGAGCCCAGCCCAGTAATACCTTAATATGAAGAGCTGACTGACAAAGATGTTCCCCAAATCTGATAAAGAACTGATTTTTCCTAAAAGGAAAATAAATTATTTGGACGGCGTAAAGTGATTTTAGTAGAATGCTTAGTATAGTACTTGGTATTTTGGGGGCAATCAATACGTAATAGGCAGTGGCAATAATAGTTCTATTTCAATTCATGGTGGTACTAGTGTTATTGACTATATAGGGGAAAATGTTTTTAGAGACACTTTTCTAAATCAGTTATTTAAATGTAGCTTGCCTGATGATGAAAAGAAAATGTGATTCATAGGCCAAATATATGTAAAGAAACCTTTTGTTCATGCAAAATAGACAAACTCTTTCCCTTTCCATCTTTTATTTTTGTTTAGGATGAAGGTACAACATTTCCTGTGGGGAAAAATGTACTGTACACTTGCAATGAAGGATACTCTCTTGTTGGAAACCCAGTGGCCAGATGTGGAGAAGATTTACGGTGGCTGGTTGGGGAAATGCATTGTCAGAGTGAGTGGTGTCAGCTGTAGTTTGTAATTTAAGACGAGAAAATAACATGGGAGAGAATGAACCAAGATAATTAACACTCACCACGTGGCCCATGTGTTGGCCTTTCTTTCCTGAAAGTCTGACACGATCCTGTTTAAGTTTTAGGAGCGACTTGAATAAGCCCACAGCCTTCTCTAGTTGGTAATGCTTCCATTCACTGAGGTCAATTTTATTATTTAAAACTTTCCGGTGCAAATTAAAATAGGCCAGGGAACTCTATTTAGATGAAGACCATTAGGACATTCTTCTTCTTCTTCTTCTTTTAAATTATAGTTTAAGTTCTGGGGTACATATGCAGACGTGCAGGTTTGTTACACAGGTATACATGTGCCATGGTGGTTTACTGCATTCATCACCCTGTCACCTACATTAGGTATTTCTCCTAATGCTATCCCTCCCCTATACCCCCACCCCCTGTCATCCCTCCCCTATCCCCTACCTCCTGACAGGCCCTGGTGTGTGATGTTCCCCACCCTGTGTCCATCTGTTCTCATTGTTCAACACCCACTTATGAGTGAGAACACGTGGTATTTGGTTTTCTGTTCTTGTGTCAATTTGCTGAGAATGATGGTTTCCAGCTTTATCTATGTCCCTGCAAAGGATATGAACTCACCCTTTTTTATGGTTGCATAGTATTCCATGGTGTATATTTTTCTTTATCCAGTCTATCATTGATGGGCATTTGGGCCGGTTCCAAGTCTTTGTTATTGTGAACAGTGCTGCAGTAAACATATGTGTGCATGTGTCTTTATAATAGAATGATTTATAATCCTTTGAGTATATACCCAGTAATGGGATTGCTGGGTCAAATGGTATTTCTAGTTCTTGGTCCTTGAGGAATTTCCACACTGTCTTCCAGAATGGTTGAACTAATTTATATACCCACCACCACCAACAACAGAAAAAGCTTTCCTGTTTCTCCACATCCTTTCCAACATCTGTTGTCTCAGGATATTCTTTAGAGCACAGTTACTCAGGATGTACTGCAATCAATCAACTTCCTTAAATGCTTTGCATCCTTTTCTGTTAGGATACAGCATCTGAATAAGAGCTTCTGCATGCAGTACCACCTGAAAACTACTCTGGTTTCTACCTCACTTGCAGTATAAGTTCAGCAAATAAATAGAGCTGTAGGGATATATTTTTCCTAAATCAGTTGCTCTATGCTATATGAGGAAAGCCCTAGTATACACACACACACACACACACACACACACACACACATACATATATTTCTCCCTTTGGGAATATACCTATTAGTGAAATTTCTGAGTAATTGGGTATTCATGCATTGGGGTACATCCTTTTAGATTTAGTGGAAGCTGCCAGGCTTCCAAGTGGTTGTTTTACATCTCTGCCATAATCTGAGAAGTCATTGCTTTATGTGCTTACTAACACTTGATATCATCAGCCATAATGGTGTATAGTGTGCATAGTGATATCCTGTTTATTTATTTTTTATTTTTATTTTTTATTTTGAGTCAGAGTCTCACTCTGTTGCCCAGGCTGAAGTGCAGTGGTGTGATCTCACCTTCCAGGTTCAAGTGATTCTTGTGCCTCAGCCTCCTGAGTATCTGGGACTACATGCATGTGCCACCACGACTGGCTAATTTTTTGCATTTTTAGTAGAGATAGGGTTTTGCTGGTCAGGCTGATCTTGAAGTCTTGAATTCAGGCAATCCAACTATCTTGGCCTCCTAGATGCTGGGATTATAGGCATAAGCCACCTTCCCTGGCCTATTTTTGTATTTTTTTTTCTAATGACTAATAAT